CTCACTGTGCACACACACATATATCTTGTGTGTGCCCCCACCCCAGCGCTCTCTCTCTCTCTCTCTCTCTCTCTCTCTCTCTCTCTCTCTCTCTCTCTCTCTCTCGTGTGTGTGTGTGTGTGTGTGTGTGTGTGTGTGTGTACTCGAAGCACCTATAGCACCTGTAGCACCTGCGGAGGGGTTGAAATAGAGGGAGAGTCAGGGATCTTGGAAAATTCCTCCTGGTTCCTTCACTCAGGTGTCTCTGTCTTAGACAGAGAAAACTAGTCCTCTTGCCTAAAGAGATCTTGGCGACTAGAGCTGGAAAGAGACTGGGCCCAGGTCTGCAGAAGGAGAAAAGGGCTTTAGGCTGAGGGTACAGGCCTCTGCACCTTACCCCTGACCTGATGGCCTCTTGGTCTTCCTGAGTTCTCAGCAGCTCTAATTCTGGTTAATTCTTTTATCTGGGTGCTCTCCTAACCCAGCAGCAACAGAAACTCCACTCCTAGACACTGCAAATCTGATCGATGCAAGCATCTCCTTAGAGTAGCACAGCCAGTGATCTTTGTCAGGCTGTATGGCTCCAGAGAGCATCAGAGTCAGACAGTGCCACAAAAGACACCTTGGGTGACACTTAGCCCTGCTGACCACCAGGATTCGTGACAAGAGCTTCATCCCCATCCCCATCAGCCCCCAAGCCAGCCTGGAACCTTCTTAGGCCTGCTTTCCTCTCCCCAGAAATGAGGGATCCCTTATCCCTTTCCCTGAGTTGAGAGGATGTAGTGGGGCTCACAATCCTTTCTTTTGTTCTGTTATGCTATTTTCAGGTCAAACCCTGACAGGGAGAAAAGACAAACCTCGGGGGAAATATTCCAGCCAGTGTCACTCGTGGGCGGAGACAAAATACCCCACCGAAGAAGTACCAAGTAATTAAGTAAAACGTTTCCATGACCTAACCGGGATTTGTCAGTAGCTCCGTGTTGTGCAGGGGTCTGGACTCTTGGGCTTTCTCTCGGCCCAATCACAGGAACACTGTAAACAGAATTGTCACTCCAGCATGGGATACAAGAACTGGGGCCCATACAGCGGACCCGGCCACGAGTTTCTACCGCTCCCAAGGCTGCCGCGAATTCTCCGCCAACACTGGCCAGGCCGCTCGGCCGGGCCACTCGGAGCCTCCGATCCCGCAAGCAGGAGCGGACCAGGGGCGGGAGGCTGGGGCGCGGGCTCGTCCCACCGGGCACCGCCAGTGGCACGGCCAGGCCTGTCGGTGGCATGGCCGTGGGGACCCGGGCCTGAACCTTGTCCATGCTCCCGCCGAAGGTTAGCGTTGTGTTCCGTGAGCGTTTCCACCCGCGAGGGAGTGTCTGCTAGCAGGGAGCCCAGCGGGCTGGGGAGGCGTCAGGGAGGCCGGGCAGTGGCTGCAGCAGAGCCTCATGGGTGGCAGTGGCTGCAGCAGAGTCTCATGGGTTTCAGCCTCCCGGGTTTGCGCACTCCGATTAGATTATTTCGCACTTCCAAAAGATTCCCGGATCCTGCGTCCAGGATTGGCTCTCAGAGAACATCTGGCCTTACGGTTTTTAGGGCTGGAACCCAGTTCTGTGTGACGCTTTGTGACTCCCGGAAACTCAGAATATGCACGGATGATTTGCAAGACAGTCTAAAAGACC